GGAAAGCCAAGGCGTAGGTGGGTGGGCTATATTAAAATGGATCTTAGAGAGATAGGATGGAATGTTATGGATTGGATTGATCTGGCTCAGGATATGGACCAGTGGAGGGCTCTTGTGAACATGGTAATGAACCTTTGGGTTCCATAAAATGCTGGGAAATTCTTGAGTAGCTGCAGAATTGGCGGCTCCTCCAGAAGGGCTCAGCTCCATGAGTAAGTAAGTAAGGTAAAGTTGTCCCTGTGCTTAACTAATTAAGCACTACGCCATGAAGGTGTATGGGGAGTGGTTGTATAGACCAACATTTTCTTGACCTGGGCACTAGCTGGAGGTGAGTGATCAGCTTCAAGCTCCGGCCGCTTTACCCCCGGAAAAAAAGCCCGTGGTACCCATTGGATAGGAGGTTTGCTGCACTAAAATCTGTGTGTTCTTTGTTGGGTGGACGATTGAGCACGTTCATTTCCCTAAACGCTTTGAAAGAATAAAAACAATTTTGTATTGAATACATGTATGTACTCATGTACGAGAGGTCTCTTCACCGAAGAATCATGTGTAAGTTGTTTAGATGTTCCAAAATATCAGCCATGAATGCCAAGTCAATTTTACAATTATTTTATTTGTGAGAATACTGGAACTTACATTTCATGTCCAAGAACATAGCATTTCTTCTTGTAAATCCCATACCCTCTTGGGGACCTAAACTCAGCCATCAAACATTGAAGTGGAATGGTACATAAGTATGATCATGATACAGACCTTGTAGCTGGGATATGAAGTGTCCGTGATTAACGGTTCTGTTCGTATGAATCTCAAAGTTCCACAGCTGTGCTAGTCACATGGTTAATATTATAATCAATTTTGCAGACGACCTCCTGATGAATAATATGGTAAGTGTCCTGCAACTCTTCAAAAATGCATAGTTTTTGCCTTTCAGATTAGTGATTTATATGTGGTCATACTGAGTAACCTGTTCCATGATATTTTATGCTGTTCAGAAGTTGTTGACAGCATTTCACACTAGTTCTCTTCATTTGTTTTGCCTTTCATAGCTTCCACAGCAAGTAAGTCTGTAATGGAACCGAACTCATAGTTTATACTTCATATGAATATCAGTAATGTCATTTGCATCATTACTGTCATCAGATGCTGTAGAGAAGTCATGATCATTGGAATTGTATTATTTAACTGTGCTGACAAATCGCTATTCATTTTTTCCACACAACGTGCAATTGTGCTACATAAACTTAGATTTTCTTATGCTGTTTCATTTTCTGAGGATACCGGCTCAACTACAGCCACTACACAAATTCACAAATTCACTATCCAAAAATGGTGTATTGTGCTTAGCTATGTCATGTACTACTAAAGAACTTGCTCAAGTCACTGCTACCTGCTGCTTGTTCCTGAGTGTAAAAGTAGTTTGTTCTTTTCTCAGATTCAATACCAACTCTTTTTTTTTTCCTTGGTTTGTTATTTGAAGATAAACTGGCACAATATCTGTCATGTTTTGAAGTAAAATTGGTTTTAATGTTGAAAACTGTGAATACACAGAGACTGTTGCCCCAGATTAGGCATACTATAGTGATAGATGCAACGTCTGTGAGGAAATACTGTTCTTCCCACTCTTTGTTAAATAGTCTACATCCACTATCTATTATTATTACCTTCTTGCACTCATTCGGCCGCCTCTGTGGTCTAGTGGTCAGGGTTCCTGGCTACAGATCCAGAGGTCCTGGGTTTGATTCCTGGCTCTACCAGATTTTCTGAGAAGTAGTGGCTTTGGAACGGGGTCCATTCAGCCTCGTGAGGATAATTTATGAACTACTTGAATGGAAAAGTAGTGGCTCTGATCTAGAAAACTGAGATTAACAGCCGTGGAATCCATTATGCTGACCACGCAACACCCTCTATGTGCAAAAGTTGGCACTAACTTCACCAACAAGTGACTCGGTCAGTATAGTTCGCTTGCAGACTAAAAGCCACGGAGTTCTTGCACTCATTTTACAAAACCAGCCGTGTACGTGTATGAAGAACAGGGTATATACACTCCCATGTTGTGTTCAGTATGTACTGATTCTAAACCACTTATTTCACTAAACAGACGTGTTCTGAGTGTTCAAGAGGCCACTGTAATAGCACTTCCCTGTCTCTTATTCTGTTGCTGTTCATTGTTTACTGTGGAGGTATGATAACCAACAGCTGAATTTGAACTGCACATGGAGTGAGCAGTGGTGGACAACATGCCACTACACATTGTAGGCTGCAGTAAATAATGTATAAAACACACCTCTTTTACACTTCAGTGGTGTTTAACCTTAGTTGCAGAAGTTTATCTCGGCTCAGCGTTTTAGCCTGGCACCTTTTTTTTACTTGAAGAGCCAGGATAACACAGTCAGTGCAGCGACTGTCTATGGGCTGGACGACCAAGGGGTCGTAGTTTGAGTCCTGGTGGGGACAAAAATTTTCACTTTCCCATGTTGTCCAGACTGGCTCTAGGGCCCACCCGCTCTCCTATCCAGTGGGTACTGGGAGCTCTTTCCCCAGGGATAAAGCGGCCGGGGCGTGAAGCTGACCACCCACCTGCAACCAGTGCCGAGGTCAAGAAAACTTGGGTGTATACATCCACTCCCCCATACATCTTCATGATGTAGTATTTAATACGTTGAGCACAGGGACAACTTTACCTTTACCTTATATTTTTTTACTTAAAATGGATAAGTACCTCATAAGTACAGTAGAAGCTCTCACACTGGCTCTGAGGGCTGGAGCAGAAGTTGGTTTTGGCTGGATCTTGCCCAGTCATTAGTTTGCTCACCCTTAATCTACTAATGCATAGATATGTGAATTGTTATGGCCAGTCTCACAGACATCTTCATGGTATGGCACTGAACCATTGTTATCCAAGTACACTTGGTCGTCTACTTACGACCACAGAAAAATGAAAAATAAAAGATGATTAAAATGTAAAAGTTTTTAAAAATAAATTATAGAGATGATAAAAAGATTAGAAAGGTTAAAAAATACTGTTAATAAATATATATGGCCAACATATGACCAGATCGACTTACGACCTGTCAGTCAGAACGCAAGTCGGTCCTAAGTCGACGACCAAGTGTAATGGGATTTTATATTCCCATTTATTATTGGGCTGGTGACTCGTTTTTAATTCAGGGATGATGAACAGTACTAGTATTGAAAACATGCAGTGATTGTTAAGCTGGACTATGCACATACACCATTACAATAAGCCAACGCATGACCAATAAAATGTTTTACATCTTTGGCACTAGATGGAGATGAGTAATTAGTTTTACTCATTCAGAAAGAGGTCAGGAAGCAAGTTTGCTCTCACAGAATTTCTGGCTGTGATGAACTGTAGTTACATCATTGCATATTGTTTTCAGCCTTCATGATGGAGGTTAGAGTTTGTTGTCTGAAGCCTTTCTTTGTTGGAAAATGCAACGGCAGACACTGTAGTTATTTCTTAAACAATGGCACATCTACAAAGCAAAACAACTGTGATTCTTTTTTCATAGCAGTTTTGAAATAAGCATGAAGTGATAGTATGTTTAGTGATAACTGACAAGTATTATAAAGGTTAATTAACACCGTCCAGTGTGACTGATAATTTTTTTTTTTTTTTAGTCTTTTATCCTTGACATATTTCGGTCTTATAGACTGTCTTCAGAAGGATATCAGTACAATTAGAAACCACTATTACAATGTAGCCTTTGTAATATTGCTAGTGTGACAAACCAAGTTGAACCAAATCCGACAAAATATATCTTTCTTTCTGTATTGTTGAGAGCAAGCCTTGGAGTAATATCCTCTTTTGATTCTTCAGTGTTTGCACATGTGCTGAGATATTTATTTCATGTTATGTTACAAGCAATAACGTTTGTGTCCATTGTCGTTTTTCAGAGACTGAAATTAATTTTTTATAAGTTATAGCATTTCTTTTAAAATTATTTTTCATCTGGTTTGATAGTTTTCCAAACAATTATTTTCAGAGTGTTGTTTTCATCATATATTCATATATGTTTAACATAATTTCATGATACTGATATGTTGGGTTTTGGACTTTATCCACGTCCAGTGATTGAGGCTAGCTCTTTCTAAGGGACCAAACTGAATAGGTGTTTTGCTTCACCTGAGGACGGAAACAGATCCAGTTTCCGAAACGTCGTGTTTTTATTTGTTATCTTAAAAACCAGGACGATGGATAAAGTCCAAAAACCCAACATATCAGTGTGTTATACACCATCATCAGAATCCTATAATAATTTCATGATGTACTTGATTTGCAACAGAACTATTGTCAACAAGAATCTTTATTAGCAGCATAAATATATCCAGGATATGAATACAAAATTTGTGTCTTGTAAGGCAGGGGTGTGTTATGAATTTATTTATGTTCAGAATTGATTGCCAGTTATCTTTTGTACACAAGATGTATGCTGTGTTTTGTGTTTACTGAAGAATAAGCTCCTTAACTTTTCACCTCTTATTTAATTTAGTACAGAAGTATCAAGTTCAGGCACCTGGAATATGGGTTGTTGACCTTTAGTTTTAATACACACCCACATATCTTTACTTGCAACAGCTGTTGTTTAAGTATAAAATCATGCCAAAAGAAGTAATGGAAAACTTGTAATTGGGCATGAAACTAATTCTTTGTATACAGAATTACTGGGTTTTTGGACTTTTTCCATTGTCTTGAATTCTAGGTAATAGAGGACATGACGTTTGGGAAACTGGATTTGTTTCAGAAATGTCATGTCTTCTATTACCTAGAATTCCGGATGATGGGAAAAGTCCAAAAACCCAGTAATTCTGTGTGTCATCCACCATCGTCAGAACCCTTTAGAATCTAATTCTTTTCATGTTTTGCACTTAAGATGTATTTTATCTGCCCCCATCTCCAGCTTCTCCATACCTTTTCTACATTTTGAATTTGTTTATAGTCCTGTACTTATTGATAATAATGATGTAATCACTTTCAGGTTTTATGGTGCTGTTTGGTGCCCCTTATTGTCGTGTTTTTGGGAATAATAGTGATGTTTTACCCAACGTTAGCCTTCATTACTGGTACATCTGAGTCAGAACATCCTCAGTGATTAAACATTATTGTGATGAAGAGTTTGGTGTGTGTCAGCATATTTTTTTTTTCATTTGAAATGATTAGAAAAGTTGTTTTGAAAAGCACAGAACTAAACAAGTGGCCCAGACATAGGGATGCTATGTCAGTGAACTAAAAAAATATTATATGTTGTCTCAGTTTTCATATATTTATTATGATTTTCTTTGTTATTGTATAATGTAGAAATAACTTTTTAAATTTTTATTTATATAATGTTGAACTGATTGTCAAATACTCATGACATAGACATCCCACTTTGGACCCTTGATCATGTTGTTAGTGCAAGTAATAACATTACAAAGATATGAATTTTTGAGTGTGATTATCATTGTGAGTTTGAGAAAGTGTTGGATTTCATATTAAGTGTTGCAAACCAAGAAATGTCTATTTAGGTTACCATTCTTTTTATGAGAGCAAGTATGTGTACTATGACTCATTAGTGAAATAATCCAAAATTAGGAGGACAGTTGAAGCCCTTTCCAGAATGAAGACATTTTCGAAACGTGCTTGTGGCTATGTCGTAAAATGTAACGTTAGTCCATAATAACCTTATTAAGGTAGGGAATCAGAATTGATTTTGTTTGCATTTCTCAGCCCTTTTGACTCCTATATGAGAACTAATCTGACATTTGATAAGTGCCAGCTTAGCTATGAAAACATGTCACTTTCTAGTTTCCTTTACTCCAACACTATGCCATTTTTAAGGAAAGTTTGAACTCTTTGGATTAACATCCAGCACGAGTCCTTGGCATTGCAATGAAAACCAGCTTGCAACTGCCAGTTAGTTATTCTGTTGTACCATCCACTTTCCATATTAATATAGATTGGAAAGAAAGTTGAATGTAAATTTAAGTGGAAAGGGTTAACTTTATTCCATTTTTTTTTTTCAGTAGTTTCAACCATTTGAGACATTGTCCAAATTTTCTGTAGTGAATGAAAGCTAAACTGCTTCTCAATATAACTGGCAACTCCTGTTTGACTGAAAATGGGAAGAAATAATTTTTAAGAAAAATTTCAAGCTGCATAATTCCCTGAGACCTCCATGTCAGCTTCATGAATTGTGGATGGAATAGAGTAATTTATTTTATTTATTTATTACTTGTTAAGTTAGAATTGTTTGGCATTTAGTATTTTTTATATGCCAGAAAATAGTTGTGATGATTTTTTATAAGGCCTTCTCACAACTCATAGCATTGGGTACTTAATGCAGGAATTATGACATTACTCTATGATTAATAATGTGAAATCAGTTTTATGTGTTATTTAGTCTACAGTAGAGATGTTAGATTTCATGACTTTTGCTGCTCTTGCAGGAATTAATAGAGAACATCATGTTCTTATGCAATATGTTATGACTGTGTTAACTCTGTCATCATCTTTGGCAATCCTGCATTCCAGCTTCTGCTGTGTAATTAGCAGCAGTTTCTGAACCTAAGCTATACTTGAAAATGACAGTCACTGAATGTATAGTTATAGTCCTCAATTTTCACATGATGAATGTTGAGGAGGAAGCTTGCTGTATATTGTCATCAGCAGTGAAGTGGCGCTTATAAGACACCCCTAGTACATTCGTAATTGTTGATGGAAGTGCATAAAACATTGTGAGTCAGATTAAACCCATATAAATAATGTCACATATTTAGTGACTAGACTTGGAATTTGGATTGGTAATCGGATTTATTGGCCGGTCACGGTAGCCGAGCAGTCTAAGGCATGCACTGTCTTCGCTCGCTCAGAAACCGGGATCGTGGGTTCGAATCCCACTCAGGTCATGGATGTTTGTGTGCGTTTTTCTGTGTTTGTCTACAGGTAGAGGCCTTGCGACGAGCTGATCACTCGCCCAAGGAGTCCTACCAAATGTGTAAGATTAGAAAAACCAAAGTGAACGGAGTTCATGGAGGTAGGCCTAGGCCCACTGGGGCTGTAGTGCCAGGGAAAAGAAAAATCGGATTTATTGGACTCTTGAAACTCATAAATATGAGTAATTATGATAAATGATATAAACTCCGTCTCAAGTGCAAACAGTATATTCTGTGTCTTTGATCTTGCTCCCTACACTACATGTTTCAGCCTCAGACGGCCATCATCAGGTGTATAACACTCACATCGCTGTCACACTGCACCCAGTTCACAATTTAACATCTAAAACACTCTCCCTGTCATTATCAACTTCTACTTCGTTGATAGCTGTCCACCCGTAGATTACTTCACACACATTAATTTTGACTTTATTGTAATAGCACCATAATAAAATCTTTAGTTCTAATTTTAAACCTTTAAATTCTTGTGCAAATTTTAAAATTTTAAAATTGTTAGGGTTATTCGCCCTGTGTTTGAAGTGCTGCAGCGGCTAGTTCTTGTTTCCACACTGTATAGGTGTTATCCTGTGTAG